GTCTGAACTGATCAATGTTACACAGGAAGAGGCAAGTTCCACTTATTGAAGATCCTATTAGGAGTTTCAAATGACAACAGAGGGTCAAAAGTTACACCGTGCTTTCTAACTTCCATCAGGGGTTTGATTACAGCACCATCAACAGCAGAACTGAAAACTCAAGAAATTCACTCAACATCTGAGAGGCAGAAGTGAAGGCAGAGCCAACAGCTGTAAGGCAGCTATAAGGAATTATACCTTTTATATGTAAGGAATTATACCTTTTTTTCTCCATGAGTTATGACTGTAGATTCACATCATTTTGAATTTAAAAATACAGTATCTATGCAAATATTTCTAAACTGGCAGCAGAATTCAATGTGACCACGCCAACAAGGGTTCAATATACATGTTTAAGTATTTAAGTACTAGAAGCAAAATAATTTGTCTACAAGCAATTTTATATACTAATAGAAGACAGAATATACTGTCTCTTAATGTGGAGCTCTGTACCTGGTGTTAGTAATGTACAATAGCTTTGAACTAACTAGATAACACAGTCAGCCCAAATCAGCCTGAAGGTGTCTTCTCTTCTTGTTTTATCATCAATACTGAACACATCTGTAGAAACCTCTAACGTGGCACACTAATTGGAAACACCACAAAAAGATGACCAGGAAGGTAATTCTAGCTGTCAACAGTAAGGCATTTGAGAATCATACCCCTGGGACTTTACAACCTGTTGATGAAAGAGGGCTGCAGCACCAGAGCTGCTGAATTAGTCTGAATGGCAGCCAGTACTTAACCCCCATTACATTCACCAGTGCCTCCGCAACAATGCCTCGCCCACATTCCGAGCAGTGCCGAGATCTGTTTATGTTACTGTTGGGGTCTCTGAGGTGGAAAAAAAGCCATCGCTGTTAAATTCAATAAGCCTTTTCTGGGCGCTGTAAAGCACAGTAGGATTATGTTAATTCAGCTTTCAAAAGGCCAGTGAGGAAGTAATTGACTCTTGCTTGGGTTAACGGCGGGGGGGGGGGAGGAGGAGGAGGGCTGGGAGGGGAGTTTTGCTACAGTAATTGTTTTCTTGGGTGACAGATCTTTTTCCAGCAGACAAGCCCAGCTAAATGACCGCAGAGGAATAGATTTGGTAAAGCACAGATGAACTCAGAAGGGTACAGAACTCGTTGTTAGAGCTTGTCATAGTTAAGCATGGAGTAAAACCATTAGCTGAAGTGTTGCTCTCTAAGTGACTCCATATAGGGCACACTCTTCCTGATTTAGATGAGCTTTGTGTGGATTCAAGTGGGCTAGCTTATGGTTGGGAAACATAATAAGAAACACATCAATTTTGTGCTTTAATGGGATCATTCATTTTATACATCACCTTTCATAATAGCCCTTTTTATATAGAACTTATAGAAAGTTATATATAAAATAATAATTTTATTCATTGTCATTGTCAGGAGGCCACTTATTCCTGGCAAGGAATCCAGAGCCTATCCAGGAAGTTGGGAGTGAATCCTATATGGGACACCAGCCCCATGCAGGAAAATGTAGAGCATAGGGAACTAGCTCCGGACCCCAGGGGACGCTGTTCAGCAGGTTTCCAGCTTCTCAAAAATAAGGAGTGTCTTCAATATGTCCAATTAAGAAAATCATGAGTCCATTTAAGCAATTAAGGGGTCAAGTGGAAGGAAAACCAGAACCCTTCTGGCCTTCCATGCATGAGCTCTGATCACCTGGCCTCGTGACACTAATTAACCAAGCAGGACACCAGTGCAGGCAGCATAAACAGGGAGAACATGGAGGCTCCACACAGAAGGCACACCAGGAACCAAACCCAGGGCCCAGCAGCTGTCTGTCACAGGGCTAAAGGACTCAATCCCACCCAATAATATGATCAGCTGTTTGTGATCCATTGTTCAGATTTTAGACCAAAACAGCACAGAGGCCAGCAAGGCTGCACAAACTGAGTTTAAAAGTATTACTATCCCCACTCGACAGAGGGAACCAACGTGTTGCATCCATTCAATTGAAATTCATGCTTTGGTTGGTTTAATGCCCTTCGCAAACAAAGTGCCACTGGGTGGTTTCACGATCGTTAATCAATACAACAGACTGGACCTAACAGCCTTTCAGCAAGCA